TTTTTTTCACTGTTTGTTCATTTTTGTTTTTTCGTTCACTTTGTCACTGATTTTTTTTTTGTTTTTGCCAATAAATTCACCGGTTCTTGTTTTTTTTCACGTTATTTTAAAACTTTTTATTTTATGTTTTGTAACCTATAGTGCCGTCTACTAGGGCTCGAAGGACCATATGTTAACACCACCACTTACTTGCCACTTTATGATTCCGCGTATGTAAATTAAATCAAAATTGTATGGTTTTCCGTTTTGAAAATGTTCACAAAACTGTCTATTTATTAATAATTATGAATAGATTATCCTCACGCAATCACTCCCTGGTCGCATACCAGTGGAGAAGTAATTCAAAGAATATAACAATTATCGATGATAAATAAAACGAGCCAAGAAAATGCGGTTACGCGCCAAAGGCAAGTTCGGTGTTTGTTAGACGACAATCGCTGAGAGAAGGGCCGTCCGCTTCGAGGACAGATATTTTTGTACTATGTTGTGTATTTTTGTACACCTAGTCGGTGTGTGTATGTGAGTTGTATGTGGTGTGTGGGTGTTCTGCGGTTTCCAGGTGTGGTGAGTGTGCCAGTGTTGCATTGTGTGTGGTGTGTTTGAGTTCTTTGGGGCGGGAATCTTAACTCATTTGGCCACTTGATATTAATTCAAGTTACACTTTTTGAGCGTGGTGACCGATAAGAAAACATTTTTTTTCTTTTATTGAATAAATGAGAAGTTAATATTGTTTAAAATATTTATATTATCTTACAACACATGTAGGTTATTCAGGAATTTTTATCATTGACACTATAGGTTTATGGTAACTGAAATAAGAAACATAAGTTTGAGACTGGATATCCTCTATATATCTGGAAAATACCTTGTTAGGAAAATGTTTGTGTTTGGCTATACATTTTCTATCCGATGTCAATGAAATATTTGCTGTTCGTAATTCAATGGGAACCGCGAGATTTCCGACTATGTTTTGCACTGCTAAAGCGGCTACTTTTTGCCTTTTTCTCCCCACTTTATCTGAACCACAAAATTCCAGCCAAACTCTAATCAATGTATTACTTTCGTCAAATTCTAGATGTACCAATTTCCCAACAGCACCATCGTAGGTAGGTAGGTAGGTAGAGTGGCTACTACTGTTGTGGCGGGACTACTGTTCCCTCACTCTATCGTCTCCTCTCTGAACCAACCTGTGCTTCTGATGAAGCTCATCAGTATAAATAATTTTATATTAGCAACTTCGGATACGTCGTCAAGGAATCCACGACCGATAGTTGCGATTCTTTTCCTGCATAGAGCTTTACATTCGCATAGAAGATGTTTTACTGTCTCCTCTTCTTCTACTTCTTGGCAGTTTCTACAATAATCGTTGTAAGGTACACCTAGCCTGCTGGCATGTCTACCAATTAGACAGTGACCTGTTAGTACCCCAATCAGAGTTCTTATATCATTCCTTTTGAATTTTAATAGTCGGTCTGTACGACTCTTGCTCCATTCCTGCCACGTTAGTCTGCTAGTGGAGCAGGTTATGGATTGTCTCCACCGAGACTCTGCTATATTTATAGCATGTTCGTTGATTAAATGCTTACAAGTTGCCAGGGGCAAAAAATTTCCCCTTTTTCAGGGGTTCATTGTAACTCGGTGCCTGTTCTGGCTAGTTCATCTGCTTCGCAGTTTCCAGGGATATCACTATGCCCTGGAACCCATTGCAGGTTTATCGTGAAGTAGGATGTTAGATCCTCTAATCAAGACATTCTTTCACTATCTTTGATGAGACCATAGGAGACTTGAGTGATTTCAAGGCCGCTTGGCTATCCGTATAAATATATATGTTCCTTGTTGTGAGCACACTTTTTGTCAATACAACAAGGCTTTCTTTAATTGCTGTGATCTCCGCCTGGAAAACACTGCAGTGGTCTGGTAAGCGGAAGGCTATTTTGGTGTCTAAAGTTGCGCATAAGACACCACCTCCCACTCGATTATCTAGTTTGGATCCATCCGTGTAGATGCTAATTCCTGGGTTCCTGTCCACCTGGTCCCTTTCCCACTCCTCTGTGGTGGGGAAGGCAATATTGTGGACGGAATTTAGCTTCAATTCTATTGGATTACAGAAATCCCCTTGTTGCAGGCGACTAATTGGGAGGATTCCCTTAGTCTGAGAGCAGACTTTGCTGCGACTTGCTTACAGAACAGGTCTGTTGGCAATAAATGTAGAATGACGTTTAGTGCCTGGCTAGGCGTTGTTGTAAGAGCTCCGCTAATGCATATACTGCTCTTTGTATACTTTCCATACGCCTCACCGCGTATTTCTTCTCCATTATTGGCCACCATACCAATATACCGTATGTCATGATTGGTCTGACAACTGCTGTATAGAGCCATTATCCTTATTGGGGCCCATTATCCTTTTACAAGTGTAGAGTGCTGTGGCTGCTTTCTTAACCCTAGCATCCAAGTTTTGTTTCCATGAAAGCTTCCTGTCTGAGATTAGTCCTAGGTAGCTTGCTTTATCTCCAATTGTTAGTTCGCAACCATTTAGTACTGGTGCCGTAACTACTGGAGTGTTATGCTTCCTGGTAAACAATACTAGCTCTGTCTTACCAGCATTTAAGTTTAATCCGCACGATACAGCCCAACGGTTTATATCGTCCAGGATCGTTTGCATAAGGTTTGCGAGAGTATTAGGGGAATTTACTCTAACTGATACTGCCACATCGTCAGCGTAGGCCACAACATGACCCCTTCTTCTCTAGATCCCACAGCAACTTATTCATGTCAGGATCAGAGAAGTGGAATAGCACGCCTCCTTGGGTGTACCCCTTTTGGACGGATCTGCGCATCGTTTGACGCT